GAAGAAAGCAAAGGAACAGAAATGTGAGGAAAGGTGGGGGTTGTTTTGGGAAATCAATGAATGCACGGAACGTAGCGGTGGTCCACCTGAATGGGAACATGTCATCAATTAAACAAACTTGGCGAACAGGGCCAATTCATCAGTGAGCGTCGTGGATCAGCTATTGGGTTCAGCTTCGACGTGACAAATGCCAGACCTCCTCTCTGTTCCCAAGGTTGCCGATCGATAGAGATCATCATTGTGATGTGGCCTTTTATCTCACAACCCGCTCCCTTAAGCCTTATATTATTCCCAACACAGATATCTCAAAGGAGGAGGAGGGGTGAGAAGGGCACACAGGCTTGATTGTATCTTTTACTCTCAGAACGTAAAGGCGCTGTTTGTTGGAGAACTGGTTTTGTGGCTTTTGACGATCATCCCCTGACTGGAAAAAAGTTTTTGGAGTTCTTGTTGTCTTCTTGCTTTCTACTCCGGTCTGATTCCTCTGGGTGTGTATTACTCTGGTTAACGCGTTATTGCTTGCTGAGGGGTCGAGTCCGCTCACATCCTTGCTCCCCCTCAGCGCCGCTCTGTCAAATTTGTCAAATCCGGCTGAGAGGAAAGCCTCCTGGCTCGCTATTGATCTGTGCCATTATGGAATTCCATGCCGATAAACTGCCATGACTTACTGTAACAATCCGAGGCTCCACTTCGGTCACGTGACCCACAAGAGCTTCCTCATTATCAGAGGCCATTATGAGAAAATGGAGATTTACAATTGAGTTACACAATGACAAATAATGACTTATTTCAGCTTCAGTCAGCTGTTTTGACCGTGTTATTGGTTTATGAGGCTTATTGAGTTGCCTCTAATTGTAGTGTTATTATGCACATCTTGATACACTCTCATGATTTTGTTTGTACTTTGATGCAATGCTTAATTTGTCCTAAACATGATGTGATCCACTCATTAATTCCCTTTTTTTTCCCTAAATATAAAATAGATTGCAATGTAACAGACAATTCCTATGTAACTGGTACCCTCAGTTGGAGTTCAACGAGGCAACATGCACTTGGTTATGTGTGACCAATTTCACGATGTAAATAAAATTGGATGGATTCAGTCAACAGCTTCATGCAAAGGACTAATATCAATTCTCATCACAAAGTGACCATTACCTACTTGGATACCGTTTTCACATCTCAAATGCAGAAACTGAGGTGACCAAGGTAGGCTGAATGTTCTTTGGTACAAAATGATTGCTTGTTGAGATACTGCAAACATCACCATGGTTGTAATTTGTCACTTGTATGTCCTCACAGAAAAACCCACAGAACCTTACCTGTTGGTGTATGTTCTACAGCACATCACATTCACTTTTTTTTTTTGGTTTCATGCTCGTGACTATAGGCAAAGCTGAAAAATTCAGTTTGTTTTTGTGACAGTTGTTGCAATGGTGGTGCATTTACAGAAATATAGGAAATTTAAATGTCCAAATTCCTTACTGGTTAAACATAAAAAAATCTCCCAAGAAGAGGGAGCGAGAATTCTTTGAAGAGATATAACACTTTAAACAAGCTCATTAATTGTTTAGCTAGTGTGGAGTTTATGGTTTGCATTAGAGCTTTTCCTCCTCGTCAATTCAACTTGACGCTCCTCTTTGTAGTTGTTGAGCTGTTACTCTGTGCACTTATTCCATCAAACTGGAATGGACAAAATACAACATTTAAAGTGCTGAAAGTTATATGAAACAGAA